CACCCCTCTCCACCTGCAGCACCTGCAGCAGGTCCGGCCGCCCCTGTCTGCCGAACTTCCATACAGCACAGTGGTAGTCAGAGCGAACAGCCAGCATAGCTGAGAGGCAGAGAGAGTCAAGGCCAGGCAGTAGGTCAGCAGGGAGCATAGGAGGGAGGTGTCCACAGGCCTTACCTTCTCCTTGGACAGTGCAGGTCACCACCTGCCGGACAGGTCCCCGAAGCCGGATGCATCCAGGGTCCCCAAGGACTTGGGGGTTGCTGATTGGGGTCAGACTGACTTCCTGGAAATCTAGGCCTCTCATTAAGGATCAGTGCACGTCTTGGAGTTGCTGCAAGCCCCCCAATCCTTACCCTTCCCTGGACCACGCTGAGAGCACCTCTTCTACCAGGGAGCACGCTGGGACCTCATGTCCAGTAGGAAAGGATACACAATGTGTCCAGGGCGCCTCCGGCCGGGTAGACCAGCTGCCCGCCCTGAGGTGTCCTTCCGGGCACCCAGACCAGGGCACCACCAGTGTAGGCCTCGTCCAGAAGTAGCCGCTCCCATCGGCTCACCAGCTCCTCATGCAGCAGCTCTGTCAGGAGGTTTGCCACCGACCTGCCCAGGATGGGGCCCCCAAGGATGGAGAACCGACGCTGTCGGTGGCTAAGGTAAGCCCAGGGACACCTGGGGACCAGAGGACAGCAGGATAATCACATCTGTGGCAGTGATGGGGGAGGAGAGCTGGGCCCCATCCCAAGGGAGGTCAGGTGCAGTGGACACTTTAAAAAAAATCTATCTCGCATCTCTTCCTTTGGGAAACCACCCACCCTGCTTCCCACATGCCTGGGACAGTTGTTGTCACTTGGAGACAGCCTGTCTAGGAATTACGCCTGGCAGAGGAAAGTCGATAAGAAAATAAAAAGAGAGCCCAATTCACTATTTGAACACCTGGATGTAGCCATGCATGAAGTCCACAAATTCAGATGTCCTTTTCCCCTGAGCCTAGCTGGATGATCTATATAAGAAAGCCTGGCT